CTCCGGAAGCTGGAAACGGATCGTTCCCAAACTTCCGGTTGGGCCGTTAGGGCCGTTTTTCGCCCTCCCCAGTCTTCAGGAAGGCCTCCGGAGGCTGGGGAGGGTGAAAAACGTCCCAATGGGCTGACCAGAAATTTGGGAACAAACTTCCTGTTTTGCCCGTTGGGGCTGTTTTTCGCCCTCTCCAGCTTCCGGAGGCCTTCTGAAGCCTGGGGAGGGCAAAAACAGCTTCTCCTGGACCTCTGGAAGGGTGAAAAATCAGCTGGCCGGCGTGCACATGGAGCTGACAGCTGGCATGCTACCAAATATGGCTCCACGTGTCACCTATGTCATGCGTGCCACAGGTTCGCCATCACGGGTATATCCTTTATTGTCATTGTACATCATGTATACAGTGAAATTGGTTTCGCAGTCACTAAATGAACTGTTGTAAGCTGAGGACTGTTCTATTACAAAAGCCAGAAAACTAATAACACTGATAAAACCCCTCCTCTGTATCCATTATCCTGTGAAGAACCGACAATTGTACAGCCTAACTTGCCTTGAATTAATGGCTCAGAATTAACATTGAAAAAAAAGAGAAAAATCAAAAGATGGAAAACCAAGATAGAGAAACCTGCTTGACGGGGAAATTTTATAGCTAGAAGAGAAGAATATTGGCTTGAATGTGGATATTGCCTTTAATGTAGGGAAGGAAAATGCGTGATTATGAACCTGAACGAATGGTCTTTTATTCTTCTTTATCCCACCCTCAGTTTATTCATGCTTTTCCTCCCTCATTTGGACCAGTTACAGGTAGTCCTTGACTTAACACTTCATTAAGTGATCGTTCGAAGTTGCAACGGCACTGAAAAAAGTGACCGTTTTTTATGACCGTTTTTCACAATCACGCTGTTGCAGCACCCCTATGATCATGTGATCAAAATTCAGATGCTTGGCAACTGGTTCCTATTCATGGCGGTTGCGGTGTCCCAAAGTCATGTGATTCTCCTTTGGCGACCTTCTGACAAGCAAAGTCCACCAGAAATCCGGGTTCACTTAACAACCGCGGTACTAACTTATCAACTAAGTGATTCACTTAACAACTGCGGCAAGAAAGATTGTAGAATGGGGCAACACTCACTTCACAAATGTCTCACTCAACAACAGAAATGTTGGATTCAGCTCTGGTTGTTTAAGTCAAAGACTGTAATTATAACCACCAGCACCCCAATTTGATGATAATATTCCTTCGTGTTTAATGGGGCCACTTACCTTCAAAATGCATCCTACAAAATGAGAGGGGACTTTCACTTTGCTGGAGATGAGATTTTTTTCGAAACTTGGAAAACAGACCATTCGCAACAGTGGTGGGTTTCAAAATTTTTCAAAATTTTTAGAACCCATTCTGTTGGTGTGGCCTGTTTTGTGGGAGTGGCTTGGTGGTCATGTGACCGAGCGGGAGTGGTTTGGCGGTTGTGTGACCGAGTGGGTGTGGCCAACTTGGAAAATATGGTGAAACTCACTTAACGCTCTTGCTTAGCAACCAAAATTTTGGGCTCAATTGGTGGTCATAAGTTCCCTTCCTTCCTTCTCTTTGAGAAGTGCTCCGCTTTCAAGCTGCTTGTGAAAGAGGAGGAAGAGGGCAGAGGGAGGCTTTTCAGGAGCCAGAGCAGCGCTGAAGCCCAATCCAGCATGGGATTCCCCCCCTTTCCTTCTCTTTGAGAAGAGCTCCGTTTTCAAGCTGCTTGTGAAAGAGGAGGAAGGGCCAGAGAGAGGCTTTTCAGGAGCCCAGAGCAGCACTGAAGCCAGGGGAGGGAGCGTTTTGGTACTGGGCCTCCGGAAGAATGAGTACTAGGAAGCACGCTAAATTTCACCAACCATTAGGCCCGTACCGGTATGTACCGGCTGAAACCCACCCCTGATCCGCAAACACCGTTAAGAGTACGTGGAGTTCCTGCAATACAAAAGAAACCAACTAAACAGGGACTAAATAATCAACGTTGATTTAAAGTTTGACAATGGATTCCAAAACAAAAACAAAACTGACAGGATGCAAGTCCTGCTCTTTTTCAATGCGCAAATGCTAATGATCATCACGATGCACAATCTTTCACAGGTCTTACTTCA